AGTATTGGAGCAATAGCATGTGCAATAAATTGTCTCCATGTTCATTTAGAAGTATGTCTCACTGTTTTTTATTCAGCTGGAGTAACTCCTTGGGAGTAAATCACAAAAGACATGCTACCTTCCATTGCAACCTGAAATATTTTCATGTAGGAGAAACTTAATCCCTTGTTCAGCTTTGTTGTGATGGTTAATGTGAAAGAAGTATACGCATGCATGTAAACATGGAATAGATGTTTGCAGAAATGTACTCATAACTTTGTTACATATGTGCATATGGATGTTCTGTTTGTTTTTCCATTGAAATTTCAAAAGCTTAAACAAGAACATCAGAATAGAACATGATGCCTACAAATTGTATATGTCTGGGCCTATTGAGACAATGTGCATATATTCTGGAATATATGTGTGCCTTTGTACAAATGATAGATGGGTTGTGAAAGAAGGGACTGCACAGATTGTTGTGGTTGGCTATGTATGTTTGGACAAAAATTTAGTTTGTGTATACCCAGTGGAGCATTAATATATGGTCTGTTAATGCTGTATAGAAATTGAGAATAGCCAGGCAGGTGTTCACAAAGACTGTTACATCTGTATGCATTGCATGGGTGTACATATAATTAGAGGGGAATGTGGGCACATTCTGTTGGTGTGTTTGTATCTCAGAGGCAGAAGAGTTAGAGGCATACATGTTCAGATTCTGATACTGCTTTCCCCCCCCTGTGCATGATAGCAAAAATGTTGCACACAGGAATTCAGGTAAATGTAAGGACTGATTGGTTTTCCAATGGTGCTGTTGGTTATTAATACTTCTGGATGTGCTAGACTAGTAATTGCTAAACAACTAGTGTACTGGGGCAAGAGCAGATTAATATGTTCTCGTGCAATGAGAAGTAAATACAATACTAAAAGCTGCTATGAGGGCTCATCTCTGTTTGCTTCTTTCCAATCAGCTTCTGCTGCAAGCAGATTATTCTACCATGGCCTCTGTAGCAAGTGTAAATGATCTATCTTTCAAAGTTATTGCTTACACCACATACATATGAATTGTTACTCTTGCGTTGCTTCATCCATTTGGAAGGGATGCTTGTATCTCCAAGCAGTGTAACTTTGGCCATTTATACCTTTTACCAATAAGATAGTGGTAGACTCCTACTTTCATGTCAGGATTCATGTGACAGTGAAGAGACAGTTATAAAAGGAAGGAATTGTTGCCTCCTGACGAATCAGAGGCTGCATCCCCCACCCCAAAAAGTAGGCAGGCCAAGTTAAAGAAATAGGTACAACCAGAGGAAAAACTAAATTTGTATGATTATTTCTTGTCCATTTAATATATTTCTCCTTCTGTCACATTAAAAATGATGATTTAACAACAACTTTTGGAAGAGGTTGTATACTAACTTATACTTTAGTTCTTATATTAAAAATCTTGCTCAAGCATTTACTCAGAAGCAATTCTATGGGGTAGACAGGAGTGAAGGTGTCATTACTTAATAGTGAGGGGAAAACACTTTGCACATGCTTACAAGAATTTTGCCCTGTCCTTGCAAACAGACTCTTAAGCTGAGTTCTGATGAAGCTTTGGCACAAATTAAATGACAAGTGAAATGGGAAAGAGACAAGGAGAACTTGAACAAGGCAAAAAAGAAGGCCTTGAGAAAAACAAAAAACTCACTTTCCCCTCCCCTATTTCTCTTAAAATTTGGAGGAGTGAATTATTTTTGCAGCAGAGAAGAGGAACAATGCTTTTTTTTT